CATGCAATTGGAAGACTAGCCTAGCGGCCTTCTTTCGCAATTAAAGCAGCATCTCATACAAAAGACGGAACCTTTGCCATCGAAGCTCGGAAACAACAGCGAGCAAAGTGGCGCAGAGCCAGTTCGCTAGCCGGGAAGGCCGCAACACAACCACAATAGTAAGTAAGTAAGTAAGTAAGTACGTAGGTAGGTAGGTAGGTAGGTAAGTAAGTAAGTAAGTATGTAAGTAAGTAAGTAAGTAAGTAAGTAAGTAAGTACGTAAGTAAGTAAGTAAGTAAGTACGTAAGTACGTAAGTAAGTACGTAAGTATGTATGTATGTGTATGCATGTGTTTGCGTGGGTATGGATGGATGGGCGGAAGCCAGCCAGCCAGCCAGCCATCCGTCCATCCATTTGTCCATCCATCCATCCATCCATCCATCCATCCATCCCTCCATCCAGGCTGTCTGGCTGGCTGGATGGATAGATGGATGCATGTGTGTGTGTGTATATATATATATACACATATGTATGTATGTGTGTATGTATGTATATATATATATGTATATGTGTGTGTGTGTATATGTGTGTGTGTGTATGTATGTATGTATGTATGTATGTATGTATGTATGTATGTATGTATCTGTGAATGTAGATGTGTATGTGCATGCATTCGTATACATTTTTGCATGAGTGTTGGTACAAGTACAAGTGCAAATGTGTGTATGTGTATGTGTAGATGCATTGTATGTCGATATGTAAATATGAACGAATGTGCATGTGTATGTGTTTGCAAATCTATATGTATGCGTAAAGGCAGATATACATAAATTGTGTGTATGTACATGTATGTAAGTGTATGTATGTATGTATGTATGTATGTATGTATGTATACATCTGTGTGTGTGCATATGTATATATATATATGTATATATGTGTGTGTGTGTATGTACACACATGCATGCACATATATATATATACATATAAATGTATGTATGTTTGTTTGTACATGCGTACATACATGCATGCATACATATTTATGTGCATATGTATGTGTGTGTATATGTATATTTGTATTTTGTACCTCTGTGCACGTAGGTGAGTGCATTTACATGTGTTTTGTAGGAGTGTATGCATGTATGCATATGCATTCATGTTTGTGTACACGTATGCTTGTGTACATACATGTACACTAATACGTACGTGCATGTTGCATGAGTTGTATGTGTAAACATACGTATGTGTGCATCTGTGCATCTATCTTTCTACCTATCTATCTATCTGTTTATATTTATATATATATATATACGCACCACTAAAAACATATTATAAACGCTACCGTGCGCATGAGTATGTGTGAGAATGTATAAATACGGAATCTCACAGATGCTGATCTCAAATATCGCCGTACTTGTGCATGTGTGCGGGGTGGATGCACGTAGGTATGCAAAGCCAGAAAGAAGGCCTGTTCTTCTTTCCGCGCATCGGAAAGGAAATTTTCCATCCTGGGCTTGGAAGGGAGATGCACCAAGATGTTGATTGGGTTGAATGTGGGGAAGGGTCTTGCACTGACAGGGCCAAGGGCGCTGGGGGCTCCTTGGCCTTTCTGCTTGGGACGCTGACAACAGCCAGTGACAGCCAAGCGTCTTGTTTGAAAAAAACGACTCTTGCTTTCCATTCTGCATGCTGATCGCAGGACCGCGCTGGTATTTCAGCAAACCACAACTGCTAGCTCTGATGCACTCCTGACGCGGAGACCACGAAAACGGTTGTGCTTGCTGTCTTTGCGTTAGTATCGTGCCGTTGCTTACTCTCGCGTCTTGAGCATCTCTGAAACAACATCGTCTATCTCCTCTGAAATCCATGAGGCAACTTACGGATTTGCTGCAGTCCGTGCCGATTGCCTGCCATCTACGCATGCTCTGAGCCACATCCACAGACCGCCACGTGCCCACCCGCGGCAAGTGCTCATGCCAAGGCTTTAGCAACAAGGGTGGACATCGAATCTCTTTTCCACACCATCAGGACAGGTCGTTGGCTCTTATTGGCTGCACTCCGAATTTTTGACTGCAGCTCAGGCCTCCCTCTTAGGAAGCCGTCGAAGGCAGTGGTGGATTGTCGAAGAGTGCCAATACCTGCCACATGTCTCTTTGACACACACCGACATGGACTGCACGCACGTGCTATGCCGCTATGCCGCTGGGGTACCTCTCGTGTGTCGGCGCCGGCACTAAGTGCTGCCAGCGCCTCAGACAGAGGCTGAAGATAAATTCTCTGCTCCTCTCTTTGCTCTGGGCGGCTCTGGACACAAAGCCGCCACAGCCGGAATCCGACGCTGCAAACTTCTTGACTCAGCCGCGAGCAGCGGAGGAGGATCTCAGCACAGGCGAGAAGCTGCCGCGAGGAAAATCTAGCATTCTTGTCTCTGCTACTAGTAGCATCACTGGCAATCCTCTTCCAGCAGGCTCTACCCTCAGATGATGGAACGTCCGGCCCATTACAGAACCGGTGGACAAGGCGACTCCCTAAAACCGCAAGTCTGACCCGAGCATGGCGAGCCAAGCTCCGGACGTAGCACTTGCGGAGGGCCTGACAGACCCAAACGGTCGAATGTGATCTCTGACACAGATGCTGAGCCGCTAAACCGCTAAATGCCGCAAAACCGCGAAATTCTGCATTACTACAGCCTTGATCCCCACAACCCCCAAGCCCCTACAGCCTGAAGAAGTCAGCCAACGACTAATCGCGACTGAACCCCCAAAACATCCCAAAGCCTGAAAACTCTTCACCAAATCCCTTAACCCCCAAACCCTGAAACCCTCAACCCGAAGCCCTAAACCGTCTAAACCCCTAGCCTGAACTGCAAAGCCTAAAGCCCTGAAGCCTCATGCCGGTGTGGGACGCACTCGGGGCAGGGCTCGGCCTCAGACAGGAAGGAAGTCCGAGGCAAGGACTGGTCCGAAAGCTTCCGAAGTCTGGGACTACCGTACTTGATTTCGGAATCCTTGCAATGAGAATGCAAAGACCTGGCACTTAGAAGACTCAAAAGGACATACTTATACACAGGGCTATACTGCACTTTGCTTTCACTGGAAACTGAACCAAACTCTTCGGCACGCCTACGAAGGGTGCTCAATCGTTTTTTGCACATATCGCACACATATTGCACACCCATAATAAAGATCGTCTCATGCCGACCCTAAACCCTAAACTGCAACAGGGACCTGCGCGGGCAAGTGTATTGATGCTGTGGCAAAAATGATGGCTACACAAAGCCAGCTGCACAATGCAGGCACCATCCGGCCATGTTGTGCACCCACGAATTCGCAGACTCTCGTGAATGGCACCGGTTGGCGGCCAATGATGGCTCGGAGCTAGCACCCCGAACTTGCCAAATCTTCAACTCTGCAAACCCTAAACCTCGAACATTCTCCGCTTCCCTCTACCCGTCCTAGCCCCAGACTTCGGAGGCGTCCGGGCCACACCGAGGCGCGCCTCTTCCAGCTCCACCCATTGCCTGGTGTCAGGAGAGTTAGGGTAGGGGGCTTGGGAATGCAAGGTGCTAAGCTTGAGGATTTGGGGTTTCGGGTTTGGGTGTGGGGGTTTCGAGTGAGGGTTTTTGCAAAGGCTAGAATCGCTTCCTCGCGGCCGGCTGAAAAACAACTTACAACTTATTTCGGGGCCGGTCAAGTCAACTCAATTCCACCCTTGAACCCGAGTGAACACTTGCAGCCAACCTAGACTGTACACACCGCCCGTGGGAACTGCATGATTCCTGGTGGTCTCAAGAACCTGGGGCTCCCACAAGACACCCTCCACATCAGGACGGAGTAGCTACTTGGTCCGCTGACGGCTCCTTTCCTCACCCTGCGCTTGCAACCACATGTCTACGACAACAGGAATAAACAAAGACGAACCAACGAAATAGAGGGTATTGGCATGTGTCGCTTGGGCTTGGTTGCTGAAACCTGCTCCTGTTCAGTTGGGCAAGAGAGTCACCACGAGGACCACGAGGACTCTCCAAGAAGTTCAAGATGTTATCCGTTGCCGGCCGAATGCGAGGCAGGATGCAAGACAGAGAGGGAGGGTGAACGGAGGAGAGAGCGCCCTAAGTTTCATCGGCGCCGGCGCGGAACTCAGCTTCGCAAGTCTTTTCTTCCTGGGCGACTCCGGCGCATAGATTGAGCAACGTTGTCTGAAGGCACCGGGTTTCGGGACGAGGGCCTTAGGTTGAGGCTTTTGTGGCGAAGGTTTCGGTTGTCGTGTTGAGGGTTTAAGACTAGGCTTTGTCCAACGGACACTTCTGGACCAAATCAGAAGAAACCCCATGGCCTCAAGTAGGCGAGGCTCTCCGCCTCTGCCGTGGCGACCGGGGTGGCGGCAACCTGGCACATTGACATCAATTGCAGCATGTGGCTTCGAAAGACTTAGACATGCATCGAACGCAAAGTCGCTGCAAAGATGCAGAACACGGCACCCCATGACATCGCCATGCGCCTCTTTCTGCTCTTCTGGAGTTCGTGATGGGGCAGGGGCCACCACCTGGAGAGTTACAGCGCCAAGCATTCCGTCGGCTCAATCTGTTCAGCATCAAGAGCGAGTACAGTACAGCTCCCACCGATTTTTCCACAGACGCATGCTCAGTGTTCTCCTTTGTTTCTGAACATCTGCATGACCATCTCCATCTTCTCTTTGATGAGCGCCTTGTTCCTGTCCGTTCTCCTGCTTTTGACTTCCCGGTTAGTCGCCGCATCCTCCTCAGGTCTGTCCCGCTTGGCATCCTTCGGGTCCTTTACATCGGTCTCTCTGGTCAGTCGGAGCTTGACCTTCTCGCTCTTAGCGACGGCTTCGCCGTCTGCCTTCTGAGCTTCTGCCTTCTGCTCCTCCTCGGCCTCTTTCGCATCCGACCTGGGCGTGGCCTCGGAGTCCCTCGGAGAGCCTTCCGAGACCAAGCTCGCGGGGTCGCCGTCCGATTGGCTGCGCACCTTGGCTGCACTGGAGTTGGGGCTTGCAAAACGCAACCTGCTGTGACAACTTCGGACGTCCGTGCGTGCAGGGACAAGGTGCCACAAGGTCGAACACGTCACTATTCTCCTTAGCACATGCAAGCAGCCCTCCTGCAGCTTGCGTTGTACATCAAGGCAGCTCCTTGCTCACTGCACCGTGGAGATTCGCGCACTTCGGCTGGTAAACCCAAAAGCCGGTCCCGAAACCCAAAACCCTACAGTAAACCCGAGAGCCACACTCCCTGTGCAGCTGCGACTCTGAGAACTCGGCGCCTTGGATTTGCAGGCAGTCAGAGCGAGAGCAAGTACAAAAACACCTGCAGCAGCTGAAGGCCAAGCAGGCCACCTTTGATGTAGAATTTGTACGCCATAACCATAACCGCATCAAGTAGGTGGGTATTGACGTCCCCAATGTCTTTCGTCTCTGCCAGCTGCATGTAGAAGCGAAGTGCGTTTGCCAGAATGAGCTTCCTCCAGGTTGGCAGAAATACTGCAGATTCACAGCGGGTTCTTGCACGACAGAAGCTTGGCAACGTCCATCCCCTAGGCTCCTTCCGGCATCTCGGGATTTCTGCTGGGGCGTTCGAGCAGCATTCTGCCATGCAGGCAGAGAGAACAGGTACTCAACCAGTCCTCAGCAGCAATTCAGCCCCAAAGAAGCCAAAAGCTTCGACGGAGCCTCTAGCAGTTGTTGCCCAGGCTGTAACCGCCTCTCATGCAAAGAACTCGTGTCTAATGGAAGACCTTACTAAGTTTGTTGTGATTAAACGAACTACCATGCCCAAACCGTAGCTGCTTGTTTTACATTACGCTTTTGGCGTCAGCCTCATAATCACGGCAGTCGTCGTGGCCGTTATGGTTGCGTATATGGTGAGGAGGTAAGAACCATCGTGATAATCATTGTCACCATCGTCATCATCATCGTCATCGTCGATGTCCTCATGGATTTCATGGTCCTCATTGGAATTCACACCGACCACAAGTGGTCTAGCTGATCATGACTTCGTCACTGCACGCCATGTGCATGTGCAGCTGGGTACTTCTCGCGCAAAGTTTTGAAGGCAAAGATCGATGAACTTTCTTCTGCAGCTTTGGCTTTGGAGACCATTGCTCGCAGGCGAAGTTGAAGCCGAGAAGATAAAGCATCTGCGACTCCACCCTCAGAGTCCGAGAGGCGAGAAGGTGCAGGAAACCTGTTCCAAGAGACATGCTGCATGCATGCAAGTCACCCGAGCATGCGGGCGACAAGCTGGTCGTGATCCTTTTCGGTTGAGTCTTGGATAAGAGCATCGGGGTTGCCTCCAGAGAGCGGCAAAATCTCAATTCTAGAATATTGGAGAACGAAATACTCGCATGTAGCTTGCAAAAGGCGCTGCAAAAAACAAAACCATAGGCATGCACTCCAAGTGCGTTCATTTGCGACACCATCATGCAGCTTTGTCATGATCTTCGCACGCTTCGGCAGGTTGGTGATCTTGCCACTCAACCAAACAGCTCCCAATGCGACAACCTCAGGCGACAAAGATCCCGAGACACCAACTAGGAAACGTCCATGTGTGACTCCCGGCACCGAAGCTGCGGAAGGGGGGATGCTGAAAAGGATCATCAACAAGGCAAGAGGCAGGCCACTCTTCCCTCTTGCCAAGATGTGTCTTCGGCGACGGATCGTAGTAGCGATGCAGGCACCGAAAACAAGTCAACAGAAGGATGTCGGAATCAAAGTCTGCTGACTTCTTGTCCTGCAGCGCAACAAATCTCGGGAAGGATTGCAAGTACGCGTGCCAATGATTTGCAAAACAAATTCGAAGTTGTGCACCTCATTGGACAAGTCACATCAGCCCCACCCATCTTTGTTGCGAGCTTCTTGGCGCGTTCGCAGGCGTTTTTGTGCTGCTTCTTAAGCTGCTCCAGATCGACATCTTGGGACGCCTGAGTCTCCTCAACCTTCACTGCAGGCTCGGCTGTTGCCGGCGCAGTCGGCGTTCGCAGTTCAGGAGTCGTGGCAGGCACGGCCGATGAAGGAGTAGCCGCGGAAGCGGGAGGAGCCGCCGACACCCCGGTTGACTCGCGAGTGTCCACCATGCTGCGAAGGCTGCAAAAGGCTCACATCAGCAGTCAGAACCGCGGTGCGTCCGATCCATGCTGGCTTGATGTTGCAGTGCACTACTCAACCAAAGCAAGTTGGCAACCGAAGGTACCCTGGCAACATGCCCTGATTGCTGCTGCAGGACTTGCAGCGGCTACAAGAAACACAGCGGCTGCGATGAATACACGAGCAAGTGTCGAATCAGATCTCTCTGATAATGTGTCAATGTCTGCAAAAGTACCTTGTCTGGAACCGGGTCTTTGCCACGATGACGTCGGGACCTCTCCTGACCAGCACACAATGGTTGAATGAACTGCTGGATGACCTCAACGCTTACATTGCTGTAGACTTTTCCTGTGAATGTGATATTGCAAACGAGTGGGAGGGAAAGAGGAGCAGCCCCAATGCAACATGTGGCTTGCTTGAGTCTAACATGCTGGCGTGTGCGGTTGAGTTAGCTCACAACTCAAAAAAGCTGAGAGCCGATCTGTCGCAGCTCCTGCCAGGGCAAGCGTGCTCACTCAGGCTCTTCACCACTCATGCATCAAGTCGGGGGATACTTGCTAAAAAGCCAGAAAGCCACAAAGCCGGACCAGAAGCCCACAAGCCAGAAACCCCGAGAGCCACAAAGCCAGAAAATGCAGAAAGCCCGAAGCCACAAAGCCGAGGGGCCGAAAGGCCGAAACATGGCGCAGAAGCCAGTGACTTGGCTCTTATGTTTTGACTGATCCTTTCCTTGTTTCTAATTCTTCAAACTGATCTTCTTCAAACTGATCTTTTTTTGTTTACATGTTGATGTCGATCATCCATTCATCCGTTTTGGTTATTGGCTGATCCTCTTTTGCCTTTGTTGATCCCTAACCCCTTCGAAAATCTCCTGATGCGACTGCAGGGGCGCGCAGTAGCCTCTTCTCCGCATGTTGCACCTGTGCACCAGATGTGTGAAAGGACCCAGCGATCTTATTGAAACTTGAATCGGTGGCTTCCGGCCTTCTCAACCAGCATCGTATGTCTTTTGCGGAGCCCACGCATCTTCTCGCGGCTCTGCTGGACCTCAAGCTCGAGGAATTATTCGTGGCCTTTTGCATCTTGGAACTGTGAATCCGAGCTCTCATTCAGCTGTCCCAAGTTGCTTGGACTATCCTGGTGAGTACCGATCGAGATGCGAGTTACTAGTAGTTTGGCATAACAAAACACAGGTGAATCCTCTGACACAAGCCTACAAAACTAAAACTGGCCAGTCACAAGAAGGCCACAAAAAAGGCCACGAAGGACCTACGAAAACAAAAGTCGTAGGGGGAATCAACAGCAACACCGCAGCCGCAAACTTTTATCACTAGCAACCCCCACCCCCACGGGCATTCGGTACCTTTTAAAGCTCCTCTGATTCGATAGGGGACAGAAGCTCAAGTGTCTTCGACATTGTCCTTATGTCGACTTTCGCATCCCACCTCCAGCAACAAGCTTTCCTTCTGCTGGCGGGCACGCAGCGTCTCGCTTTGTGCATCCTTCCGGGAACGTTCCAGTTTGGAGTGGGAACACCTGCAGCTTAGTCTCAGTCTCTAGTCCTCCACATGGGCCTCCAGCTCCCTCGTCCGTCGCCTGCGCGCTGATCCCGGCAAATCGTGTGTTTCATGTCATGGCACCCACTCAGAAGCTGTGGCCTCGCGGCATCCAAAGAGGACTCGGCGGATCGAAGCTTGGACTGGATGTCGGCCGTCACGGTGGTAACCTCGTTTCACACTCCCGCTCTTAGAGCTCACAGCATGATCCACTGGCCCACTGCAACTCGCAGAGCCTCCTCCCGCTCTTGACGGAGCTTTTCGGTAATGACGAAGACGCGCTGCAACTCCTCCTGTCAAAATAGGAAGCGACTCAAATACTGGGCATGGGCTTTGACACGGCTTCCAAGTATCTACTTTCCACACATCTTCTTGGTAGAGCCTACCCACTCTGCGAAGCCAAACGTTGAATCTGCATAGGGGACCTAAAGTCATGCTGCCTGCCTGGAGAGAGAGGCTCACGGTATTCGCACCCTGCGCAGGATCACTCGGGTGACACTCGTATTCGGCCGCTTCGGAAACTTCTGGCCTTGCTGCTCTCCTCGAGTTCCTGCAGAACGCACCTCGCCAAACTGCTCGGTGCAACATAGACCGCCAAACCATGATCTTTTCGGGGGTCGGGTCCGTGGGCCCCTGGGCCCAAGCCCATGGCGGGCCCACTGGTCATGGGCAGAGCGAGGGATGTGCTGGGAAGGATAGTTGCAAGCTGTGGAGACGTGGAGTCTTCCTTTTCTTGTTATTTACAGAGTGCTGTGTCCATGCTCGGGATAACATAACTTGACAAAGCATGACAGGCATAACAAAGAATATTCCACACTCACACGTAAATCCAAAACATAGAAAGGAATATACCACATGCACGTTGCGGACACGCAGCTAAGCTACTGCCAACCAAGCTGACCTGCAGGGGGCGTCTCAGGGATACATGCATACGTACAAGACATACGTGCATTCGTACATAAATACATGCGGACGTACATACACACATACATCCACTGGCCTGGGACGGGCCCGTGGGCCCGGGCCCGTTGGTCATGGTTTGACTGGGACTGCTACCAGACAAGTTCAAGCGTCAAGACGAGTCAGCTACATAGTAATTTGGAATGATGACGCCATCGGGAACAGAAGCCCTTCCGAAAGCATACGATATGCGTCGCAGGTCTTTGGAGGCAATTCGCCAGAGGAGCGAAGCCTGGCAAAGTGGCAAACGCCTCCTTTGCTCCGCCTTCAGCTGTTCTTCAAGCTCGCATCTGGAGAAAGGTTCCCATCCGAGCAGGCACAGCTGTGAGAGAAGCAGGGGAAGCGAGTTAAGTGTGCAGGCGATCAGGAATGAAGAACAGTGACACGGATACTCATAAAGGCAGCAATGTTTTCCCGGGCCTCTGCTGGCGGACAGAATCACCGAGACCCTGCCATGAAGATGCACATGTCAACAAGTTTGTGAACGGTTGCATCTCGCAGCTGTCTCTCACATGAGTTCCTCGGACCGGACAAGAATGCGAGATCTGCGACTTGCCTTTGCTAGCTTGCTCTTACTATGCTCTTTGCCGTCATCTGCTATCACTAAGTGTGTGTTGATTATTGTTGATTCCGTGTTGATATTTGCCATCAAGTCTGCCGACGTGCCTGCAGGCGCTGCTGCCAACGCTCCAGGTCCGCCTCTACTCTCGCATGCATGGCAGTGTGCCGCAGTAGAGAAGGACAACCGGATCAGCTCTCTTGGCTCTCTTTGGAACAAGGCACCTCCCCCCCACCAAATCTGCGACTCTCACTCTTTGGGGCCCTGCCGTGGCTGCCGCAGTGCCCTCGGCGGCGCTCGAGAGGCGGGTCAGTGCCTCCTTGTGCCTCCCGGATGCACAAACTTTCTCACATGGAAGTGTCTCATCAAGAAGCTCATTCAGATCGAGTCTCCGTCCGACCTCGCATCGAGAGCCGCGTAGAGCTCCTCGGACGCCTGCTGCGCCAACGTCGCGGCCTCTCCAGCGGGCTTGCCGTGGCCAGATGCCGCCAGCACGACAGGCAGAGTCGTGCCTTCAGCTGGCTGTGAGCCTCCACATTCTCTTTCAGGGCCTCCTCCAGCTGCACCTTCCATCGAGACCCTTCACAGATAAACAACTCTGAGACCTCCTGCCTTCAGAGATCGAAGCTTCTCGAGGCCCTCCTTCGCCACGGCCTCCTGCAGTCTGCACTGCTCTTCTGTCACGTTGCCTTGCCACAGTGGACAAGCCCCGCCTGCTGCTCCAACAGAAGCCTCTCTCGGCTGCGAGCTTCCAGGCCAAGCTTCTCCTGCTGCAGCTCCTGCAGGGCTCAGGTTCTCTGGAAAATACCGGAGGAGCGTGTTGTCAGATTCAAAGCCGAACCTCCTCCGCCGACAGCAGCTTCTGCTGAAGGCTTTCCAGACGCTCCTGGTACAGGCTGACCTGGGCTCAAGGCCACGATCCAAGTCCTTGTGAGAAGACTGCAAGACGGAATTGAGGACTCGTTGGAATTCAACTTCATCTGGAGTTCCCCCTACGTTCGAAAGCACTGATGCTTCTCACCATGAGTTCTGCACCTGCTTCTGAGTGCTGACCAGCTCCTCCTCGAGAACTTGTGCTTGGAACTAGGGTTTGGGCACCAAGGGCATAGGGGCTTAGTGGCTTAGTAGAGAGTCAAGGTTGTTTTCATGTTTAGAGGCAGCTCCTCCATGGTCTGCACTCGCTTCTCCACCACTTGCCGTTGGCGGCCTGCTGCGACTTGCACGTCAGAGCGGCTTTTACATGCTTTTACTACACAGCCTCCACTCCAGAAACAAACTTCTTCCAGGCGCTTCTTGTGTCAGACGAAAGAAGAATGTCAATTGGACCACGCACCGCACACCTGCATCTGCCAACTTCGTCTCGAGTTCGCGCAAGCCACCGCGACGGGCACGGTCACGCTCGTAACCTGCGCGCGCCACAGATTTGTTCCACTTGCCGGACGGACCGCTTGTGTCGCAGCCTGCGGCCAAGTCCTCTTCTTGCGAGGATATGCGTTGCATCACGGCCTCTGCAACAACTTTTCTGCAGCTCACGAAACCGGCACAAGACCGCTTTGTGCACCGGATGATTGACTGACTTGGCCTCCACTTCAGCCCGAAGCCGCTGCCGCTCACGCTCACACCTACACAGGATGGATAAGGTCAGTCACAACATGGAAGACCAATCAAAGCAAGCATCAAAGGATCCGTTTAGGCATTGCCTGCCTGGTGTACCATGCTTCCTCTTCCTGGATTTGGTCCGTGGTCTCCTGCAAGAGCTCACGGATCTCAAACTCGCCTTTTCGCTGTCAATGGTTCGCCCAGCCTGCAAGGTCTTCTGTTCCTCCCGGCACTGCCTGTCTATGCATGATAAGCAAAGCGGAAAGGTAAGGACAAGTATTCACCAAGACATGGGCTCTGCTCCTGAGGCCAACACGAGCTAAGCCGCTCACAGTCCATGTTGGTCGCTAGAGCGGCCTCGGATGAACTCGGAACCCCCTACCGCGTCGCTGCTTCCTCGCTTGGTGAAATCACGTCCGCACCTCTTTGGCTCGCGTTACTTCGGTTGCCACGAAGTCTGTGCCGGCCCTGGACCAAGAGGATGCACTTCTGCAAAGCTTTTGTTCAGTCAGGGACCAAGAGGACAAAAGGCAAAGATCATAGAGTGCAATAATGCGACTGCGGGTTGCCGACTCCGCGCCTTGCTTCTTTAAGCCGCTGCTGCGCTGCTTCAGCCTGGTGCAAGCTTAGTCCGCCCGCGCCGTAAGACTTGCAAAAAACAGCCCGCGGATGACAGACTCTGACGTGACTGGAATTCAACTACTTGCATGCAGCGAGCACTGATGCCAACCCCGGTGAGTTTCGACTACCTATCATGAAGGACCCGAGTTTGACAGCAAAGACAACAGTAAGGACGGGTTCAAACTAATCATGCACTTCCCCCACATTTGTCCGACAGCCTCTGCCAGCTGTGTTCGCAGTGCGTTCTGCATCCTTGAACATTTCAACCCAACACAGCTCAGCAAGTTCTGGACGGAATCATCTAATGTGGTCAACTTCAAACGGTGGCTTAGCACCTGGATGCACAGGCACAAACTAGAGTCGTCCATCTAAGGCAACCAAGACCCCGACTGCGAAGACGTTGCCTTGAACGTTGAGCGAGGTGACAAGTGCTTGACACCAATTGTACATTCACCATGTCAGAGGAGTTCAAGTTGTGCACAAGCTGTGGCCTGTCGCGCGCTTGCACGCTCTCGCACTTCTTGCCTTGTCAGAACTTGGCTGCTTGAACTGCGCACCTACAAACAGCCACAGTGAGAGAACACCCCATGCTCTAGGTCCCTGTACAGTTCACTGCATAGCTTGTATGGGAACATTCATTTGAGCCCCATACGTGCTTTCGTGCTCGAGACAACGGAACATCAAATTTACTCTGAAGGAACTGCTGGGGAGAGCCAGAGTTCAATCTTCGGGACACAACCTTAAAGGCATGGAGCACGGACACGTCACGCAAGGAAATACACCGTAGATTGGCTTGAACTTCACTGTGACTGCCACTCAGACTGGGCAGGGGACAAAGAAGAGAGACCGAAACCGTTCCGAGGAGTTACTGTGGCAAAGTGCAACTTGCACGCAAAACCTGACGGCCCTCACACAGCGTCAAGCCAAGCTGAAATCAGAGTTCTAATTGACTGGTGCTGAGTGCCGTGGATTTCATGTTAACTGTGAACACAATGCCACTGCTCAGTCGCGGCCAACGGAAGAGGAGTTCCAAAGATGAGGTGCTTCCAGTGGCACGCTGTGATCATGAAAAAAATAGACACGATGAACCAGCAAACGTGCTACTGAAAAGCAAAAGGAAATTCCAGAGAGCGGTTGAGAGAATCGGATTTGTCGACTGGATGGAAAAAAGTTACGAAGCCAGGAGAGCAAAACGAACGTGAAATCGGTCGGATCAGTTAGAACATCACACAGTAATTAGTATGGGTCATGCCTGAGAAATGAAGACAGTGGGTTAGACCGTGCTCAAAGCCAGAGCTGTTACAGCATTCCTCTGCTCGCAAACGCCTGCGGTCTGAAAAAAGCCTTCAGATTGCTGTCTGTGTGCTCTCAGCCTGCTCCGAAGCGTCCGTAAGGCCCACACTGCAAGCCGACCGATCTGGTGCGAACTTCTGTGTGACGAGCTTCTGCGACCCGTACACGGTCCATAAGTTCTGAAAACTTTTGACCTCAGCATGCCCGCACACTTTGCAAAGCCACCATGTTGTCTGAACCAATCTACTTCGCCGGCCCGGTTTGCACAGCACGACTGATCGCTACTAGCAGAAACATTAGCATGACACCACCCGCTGCTGGACGTCCCTGAGCCAAGCACATAGAAGGCGAACAATCTGATCTGGGTCCTAAACAGCGGACATTGGTCTGATGCAGAAATGCACCGAAAACAGAAGCAGCCACAAACGAAACGGAACGATCTACAACCAGAACCGGAGGTTCATGCAAAAACTAAATCATCAAGCTGCTTGCTGGACAACAAATCGAAAATGAAGTGGTGGTCCTGAACAGCTTCCGCCAAATCACCTTGCACGGCTGTCGAACAATGCTACCAGCTTGGCAACACATGATACAGACAACATCCTCGAGATAGATGAAACGCTCAGTCTGTTTTTAACAGCTATAAAAGCCATGCACTGCACGCGCAAGGCAACGACTTGCGCTGCATGACATTGACTCCACAGCGGCCATGCTTGTCGGAATGCAGCAAGCATTGTTTACATCATGATTCGCTAACGGATACGATCGATCCAAGACCTATCTTGCTGACCCACAAGCTACTGCAGCTGCCGTCTCCATGACTGCACCAACAAGAAGGGACACTACCTAGCTTCGGCTGCAGTATGCTGCAGTGTTGGCGAACTGCTGAAAGGAAACAAATTCCGGACCATGTTAATTCGAAGCTGCAAGAGCACAAGGGTACGGCGCACAGAACACTGGTTTGCCAATTGCCAAGCACGACATGTTGTGCGACTTTGGAAGAACAACGGTTCATGATAGTAGGGATCGCACCAAAACAAAGCTTGACTGCTCTTGCTGTTGCCTCCGGAATTTCGATTCTGAGCCTGACATTGGGCGCCCACGATGTCGAACAAACATGCGAAATGCAGGCAATCTTGTTTTAGATTGGATCCCGAAAGATCAGGTGGCCAATTACTCATTGTTCGATGTGGCAACAAAAACTGAACCTCTAAAAAACTCTAAATGTTTTTGATGTTTAACTGATGCAAATTGAACCTGAAGATGTAAATTCGACGGCTCAGCACTGTAAAGGTGACACGCACGATAGATGCCAAAATTGCAAAGCCATTCACAATCAATTCAAGCGCTGCAAAAAACTTTCTCAAGCCTCTCTTGAACGCTTCTTCTTCTTAGAAACTGCTCTCGACGATTGTTCAGCAGCGACGTCAAAATAGTGAGCCCCGCATGCTGTACAAAAGGCGCAAGCTTTTGTTGAAAGCGGGTAGAGGTGAAAACCAAAAGTCTCTCAGTGGCAAGGGGTCGAAATCGTGCGCAAACCGCATCGAAATTGCGCAACTCAGTAGTGCACTCCAAATCGGACAGTCTGTTCGATGTCCCTAAAATGATGTCTGAGTGAAACCGGCGCGAGATCATGAAAAACCGAAAGCAAATCTTGTGAGCAAGGTCAACCAACAGTGCAGCCGAAGTGCTTTGGAGTGAGAAAAGCGAGAAAAAAGATTTACAAAGCGTTGAACTCGACATGTTTTTTTTATTCGGTGTCTGCCAGGTCGAGTCCAAGTTGAACTCAAAAACAAGTCTTGCAGACTGGCCATGTGCAGTCTTTTCGTCCGATTACTCCACCAAGAGCTCAGGTTTGCAGCTGTTCCGGTGTTTTGTGCTAAGGGATGTCTTTTTCTATTCATTCGGTCTTAAGTTCCTGAAAGCGTTTTCGTGTGGCTTTCGTGCATTTCTATGATCTTCCATGACGCATAAAGAGCAAATCCAAAAATCTGGAAGGCGTCGAAACTTCACGCCCCACCTTGATGCAAGTTCAGGGCACTCGGTCTCTTGGCTTGCGAATAACATGACCTCCAAGCGACAAACTCGGAAATCCTTCTTGATCCGAGTCAATGCCTGCTGCATTTCTGGGAAAGAGTTGCGTCGCACCTGTAGCAAAACAGCGCTTAAGAAAATGCGTTTTCGTGGGCTTCTTAAAGAGGTTCGCGGGACTTAGGAAGGAAACTTGTTTCTGCCAGCTTAGCCGTGGCACCTGCAGCTCCTGTCAGTTGGAACTTGAGCGTAGGACAGTTTCGAAGAGTTTGAGCCCTTCAGTCCCACTTTGCGCTTTTTGTTCGGGTTTCAAGCGTTCTTTGACTGTTAGCTTGACCTCTGCCGATTGCTTTGGACGACAGTGGCAGCCGCTTTGTGCACCAGAAATGTCTGCCGAGAAACGCTACTGCCAATGCCTTTGAAGGGTCGTTCTCACGCACCATCACTTGCAAGCTCTAAATAGCTCTTCCTTGCGGCCATCTTTCTTGCCCTCTTTCTTCGAGGCCTGGAACCTCGACGGGTAGTCCGATCGCTGGAGACATGCGCGTCTACTTTAAACATATGATATTTAAACAGGCAAGCAAGTCTTTCATACAACTTCCGCGAAGATTTGGCTGGGCTGCCTGCCGGTCAAACATGCGGAAATCTCCAGACATGCATGCAAATATAAATGTACGGATTTTTAAACAAATTGTTCATCTCTACAACTTTTCTTGCTTCCTCCACATGTCTAATTATCGTAACCGTGATCCAAAGGCTCCCCCAAATCTCCAATCACAACCCACATGGTACAGTAAGGACTAAGCCAACGCAGGAAAAGCACTTGTTTTTAGCCAACTGTTGATGCAGCTGAAGGTTCTCTAACTTCAGGCTTCACGAGCTTCTTCCATTCTCCAATCTTTGATTTTCTTCCGCATCTTGCAAATTTTTAAGTGCAACTTTCGGCGACGACCGTCATCAGAGGCTGCAAGCTAGCAGCTCGTCACTTTTTTTCCAGCTGGACCAGCATTGTCACGTTGCAGAAAAACACAATCAGTGCATGGAGTCCGCCCTGTCAGTTACTTGTCAACGCTGAGCCGACAGTCACGTACAATGCCAATTCTGTGGTTCAAAAACAAACAGAGAAACAAGCAAGCTGAACTGTTCATGCTTCTCGAAACTTCAGCAAACACCTCTGAAGGTGAAAATGTGCTCGCACTTCTGCGCTCTACACTGCAAGCTTCGAAAAGACAGTGTGAGCGTAGTGACCGACAAACAGCTTTTCCCTACAGCTTCGATTCAAAACCAAAAGAACCACAGCTAAGCAGAGACAAAAAAGAAAACAGCGAAAGTTGTCAAATCATTTCCGGCCTGGAAGCCGTCTACGACGGGGTGAACAGCTGCAAGTTCTTTATCTCATCACGGTCCCATGTACGTTCTCAAAGCGCGCAGTTTTGGTTAATTATAGAGCGATAACATAGTAATCCAAGTAGTAGTATCGTAGAAATAGCAATAACCAGATGACAAAGCCAACGCCTCAAAGTAAACACCTTGTAATTTGGTCGCGTCTCAGAGGCTGCATGCTGTTCGCAGGAGGCCAACTTACTTTTCGGAAGGGCGGGTTGCGTGCATCTCTGCTTTGAAGTCGGATGATCAAAAGAAAATGCCGACTTGGAGGCCGCAAGGCGGCCATGCTCCAGTTCGCTGCCTTTTTGAACCCAAATTGCCTCGTGTCATAAAGACTTGCACCCTGGATCCCTTTTTATCTACAGATGCATCCTTCTATATAGATAATAACTCTGCCCATGACGTTGCCATAAAAAAAAATTTTCCACGTGGCAGTGCATTCAGTGCAAGGCGGCCCTCGAAAGTACCGTCCTGAGCACGGGTGCAATCCAGAGTAACGAACTCCTGCACGCTCTTGGCCAAAAGTGGGGCTTTGACAAGCG